TGCCGGTCTTTCTTGTGAGGTAGAATTTCTCAAGATTGCATCCAATTTCGTCTGTATTGCACCTGAACTTTCGGCCTGATTCTTGCTCATTGTGTCCAGCCTCTTTTCCAGGCTACCTATTTGGCTGTTGACATCATCATATCGGTTTTTCAACTGTTGCAAATCTTTTTTGATGTTCCCTTCTCGTTCTTTATTGGTGGCTTCTACCTTATCTGTCATCTCCTTGAGTCTCTCGTCTGTTGCCTTAGCCAGGTTAAAATAACTATCCAGATACTCGTGTTTGTTGTATCTTAATTCTTTTCTTATCACTTATCTGTCCTCTTCGCTGTGCTTCAGCTTTTTGTCGATCTGATTCAGTTTTGCCATCAAGTCACCTAGCTCAAGAGTAGCCTCTTCATGGTCAGCCGTTGGTCTTTCTTCGGCCGTTGCTTCTGCTTTAGTTTGTTCCTCTCTCGGATTGGCTTCTGTCGTCTTCGTGCTCACTGTCCCAAATGTTCGTGCTCTTTCAGCTTTTGGTTCTTCAGTCACGTTCTCTTTCGTTTTTATTCCGACCATCATCGCCAACCTTTCTGTAAAAGATGTCTTTTTTACTTGAGAGTCTTCTTTCACCGTTTCTTCGGTGTTGCCTATTGCATCTTCCACATCATCTATTGGTGAGAACTCTATGGGTTTCGGGTTTGGTTCTTCTGCATTGGGCATTGGAGTTGACTCCGTCGTCTTTTTCTCCAGTTCATCTACGCTCTGGTCTGGTGTTTCTAGGTCGATTTCGATTGTGGGCTCCACCTGTTCTTCCCTCGCATCTTCTCGCGTATTGCTCCCGGTGCCACTTCTCGTGCTGACCATGCTAACTGAAAAGTTATTATTTGTTTTGCCTGGGCCCCTTGATGTCGTTCCACGCAGCGACGAGTTATATTTCGTGTTTGATCCACTTGACCTTTTTTCAAGCACCGGTACCCTACTCCGTCTCATTATTTCTATTTACAATTGCTCTTATTTACAATATTATTTTATATACAATTCTATTCTAAGAATAAAAAATTTAGTGGAAACAAAATCTTAAAAGAAAATATACAACGTGATAAAAACCTTGTTCCAGTTTTCTAAAATTATCGAGTAATTTTCTTTATTCGTGGTCCCAACTGTGCCGGGTTCCAATTAGTCTTGTTCTGTCTTAATCCTGTCTTAAAACAGCTTGTTGTAATTTTACTTCAATTTTTATACTGTCCTAAGACTTCCAGTTACCGTCCCTATTCTTTTTCGTACCGTCCCAGGCTTCCTTTTACTGTCCCAAGACTGTTCGGTAATGTCCCAGTACTCCGTCAGTGTCCCAAGACCCCTGACCTGAGAGTAGTGTCCCAAGGCTAGTGTCCCAAGGCTAGTGTCCCAAGACCACTGTCCCAAGGCTAGTGTCCCAAGGCTAGTGTCCCAAGACTACTGTCCCAAGGCTAGTGTCCCAAGGCTAGTGTCCCAAGGCTAGTGTCCCAAGGCTAGTGTCCCAAGACTACTGTCCCAAGGCTAGTGTCCCAAGACTACTGTCCCAAGGCTAGTGTCCCAAGACTAGTGTCCCAAGACTACTGTCCCAAGGCTAGTGTCCCAAGGCTAGTGTCCCAAGACCACTGTCCCAAGGCTAGTGTCCCAAGACTACTGTCCCAAGACTACTATCCCAAGGCTAGTGTCCCAAGACTACTGTCCCAAGACCCTTGTCCCAAGACCCTTGTCCCAAGACCCTTGTCCCAAGACCCTTGTCCCAAGACCCTTGTCCCAAGACCACTGTCCCAAGACCACTGTCCCAAGACCACTGTCCCCAGACCCTGTCCCAAGACCCTTGTCCCAAGACCACTGTCCCAAGACCCTGTCCCAAGACCCTTGCCCCAAGACCACTGTCCCAAGACCACTGTCCCAAGACCCTGTCCCAAGACCACTGTCCCAAGACCACTGTCCCAAGACCCTGTCCCAAGACCACTGTCCCAAGACCACTGTCCCAAGACTGTATCAAGACTGTTCTGGTCCAACACTGTCCCAGGACTTCTTTGGCACTGTCCCAAGACTGTTGACAAGTGTCTGAGCGGTGGGACCTCTCTCTTCTTCGTTATGGGGACTTCTTGATTCACTCGCCTTGTACCACCACTCAAGCTCTAGTAAAATTTCCCCAAAAACCCTCTCTTAATTGCCAAATGCTGACCCCCCTTTTTCTTATTTCTTTTTAATTACCTCTCTTTCAATGTTCCAAGCAACTTGAGACCAAAACCTGTGCGCAGGTATCTTGTGATCACCTGTTCGTATAAAACTAAACACAAATCCTTACCAAAATGCAACAAAAATCCAAGTTAGAAAAAGTAATAAAAACAGAAAGATGAGCCCACCTAAAATTCAAAGGTGACAAATGTCTACCTTCTATCGAAAAAATTGTCTGGTACCTAATTGCCACGCGTTTCCTTCCCCCCTGCTAGCGATCTTATGGGGTATCACAAAAACTGTCTATGTCCGTTCCCCCCTACCGATCCGACCAGGGTACCTACCTTAACCTAATTCCAATTTTGGATATCCGCTTCCTATTACCAACGCGTGTAAATGACTAATGTAACTAAATCAACGATGTCGACTAATTAGTTACTCTAATTTCTCCCCTTTTTACAATTTACGACCGCCAACCTCTAACTTAACCAGCCCCCCTTCTAACCTCCCCCCTTTTTAGCCCCCCTTCTTAAGCCTAAAATCACCTTAAGCGCCGGGTGCTAAACCTCTCAAGAGAAAACCGTAGACCTGTCTCCAGGCCTGCTCAAGTAAAAACGTTTCTCAAAACCGGGGGATATCGCTTATCCAATTTTACACTTATTTCCTATAATGTAGTATGAGTTTTAACGATACCCGTTCTGCCCAACTTGAGAACTCGAGAACTGCCAAATCCTTCTTGGCTACTTTCCCACTCGACTGGTCACCTCTTCCAGTCCAGTCTCCTATTGGTTCAGCTCAAGTGCTCCTGAACCACTTTCCCACTCGGCTGGTCACCTCTTCCAGTCAAGTCTCCTATTGTTTCAGCTCAAGTGCTCCTGAACCACTTTCCCACTCGGCTGGTCACCTCTTCCAGTCAAGTCTCCTATTGGTTCAGCTCAAGTTCCAAGCTATCTAAAAACCCTTGACAACGCCCCACACTCGGGCACTTTATTGAGGTTACTGGGTTAAATTGCTAGGTTGATCGAAACGATCGAACTTGTAAAACAGTATGGGTATACTATTTAATTAATATAAAGGTTTGATCCAACTAATCTGGTGTCAAAGTCACTGTCTTTTTTCGTTTTATGGTTTTTGTTTCGCTTTTTGTCTTTTTGCTCGTGTTTTTGTCCGCCTAGTTGCCCCCCTTTACTCGGTTAGCTAAGCCTCGTTCGGAGAGCGTACCAGGAAGTTTTCTTGAGTTTTTTTAAAAAGCTATCACGGTACAACCGGAAGGTTTGCACGTTCCTGTCGAACCGTACCGCCGGTACTCTAGAATGGGCATTCAGCCCGAAGCTGTCTCAAGTGGGTTCGACTCCGTAGTCTTGATGTCGTAAACACCCAGGAGCGCCATAAAAACACTATGTAACATTCGTCTACTGCAGTCACACATGAGGCTTAAAAAAATAGGCCCTATAACCATTGGCTCAAGAGTCAGGGACACTATCTCTTGTGTTTTTGTACCTCAAATCAGTCGGAGCCAATTCGGTTCGCTTGTGACATGAGACTACGACCCGTTACAGCTTAAAGGCTACTACTAAAATATCCCCCCACTCTAGAATTAGAAACGTCCCCATACTTAGGTCTCTAGATACCCAAAATACATGAACGCCGTTAAAAACCGGATTGGAACAATCCGTTAAGTTACTTTTTATTAGACAGTGGAACTTTGATCCATTTCAGATGGATCAACCTAAAACTCGCCTTACCTCAACATAACAATTATAAAACACACTCTAGAAATTTAAATTAGTACTCACATTGTAGCACGCTCAAGAACCAGGAAGTAAATAAGTCGGTGAGCAACTCAAGAATCAATAAAGTAACTAAAATGAGTTTAATGTTAGTCAGTTTTAATAACAAGAACAAGTTTTTACTCTAGACTGTAAGTTCTCGTGAACCATTGGGACACTCTAGCTGTCCACCTTTCCACCGAAGGTTCACTCTAGTCCAGTTTAGAATAATACTCCAATCACAACAATCCAGTTCGTGGGAATGCGCTCGTCTCTGTTTTAGATGGGACAGCTCTACTCTCGATTATTATTGCTACTGAAATTGCGAATAGCAATTTCCCACTGATTTTTCTAGCAACTTTCCCGCGATTGTCACTCGATCGTTCTGACTTCTCTTTTTTGATTTTCAGTTATCGCGAGAAAATCGTGCATGACAGGTTCCATTCGAAATTTTGAAAAATTTAATTTCACTCCAAAATTAAGTGCTTTTTGCTTCTCTCAAGGTCAAACTTCCAAATATGACCGACTGGCACATTCCCTCGAACGACCCAAAGTTAGGATAGTCAGCCAATAAAATCATTTAGGCCGAAAAAAAGCAAAAAAACTAAGTTAAAGAAACATTTACGAAGTCAAGGCCAGTAGAATAACGAATTGAAAGAATAAATGAAAACATAAAAAGCAACTACTAAGAAAACTGCATACAGTAAAAAAAAATCTAAGATGTGGCAACTGAGTCGACATAAATTAAGCAGACAAGAACTTAGCCGATTTTTTAAACGGAATATTTCCCGTTTGAAGAAAATAATTAGGTGCTGGCCAGATTCGAACCCAGGACCTGTACCGTCCCAGGCGTATTCGTTAATTTCAGACAAAAGTGCCGGAGACGCTTAGAAACTTAAAATCTTTATGAACCAAGATACAAAGTGATTCAAGTCATTCCGTAAACAAGTTGTTAGCCCGAAAAAAGTCTATATTCCGATGTGAAAACAACCCACATGCATAACTTGATATTTATCTGGTGAATTACGATTTCTTCAAAAATATTGCTTTATTTAGGTATGTCCAACCGCGAGGTAATGGAACAAGTTGAACATGGATATCGAATGCAGGCTCCAGATAACTGCCCGGAACATCTTTATAAGATTATGCGGGCCTGTTGGAACGCTGATGCGCAGCGACGTCCCACTTTCGAGTACCTCTTCAGGGCACTTTCTGAATTCACGGCCATCGCTGAGAAGCAGTATGGGTGAAGGAAACACAAACATAGAAAAAGTTCCGGGTATCAAACGGAAACGAAAAGTACGAAAAAATAAATCGTAACCACCAAGCAACTTATGACAAGCAATTAATATTTTCTTTTAAGCCTCGTCACAGATAAAGCTTAATGTTTTTACCTGAAAAAAAATCGCGATTAATCGATTGATGTCGAATTTTTCATTTCCAAATCTTTTTTTGTAAATAATAGTAAATTATGAAAGAGGCCCTTGCGTTTAGGTACGGTCGTGCACAAGCTGGGTACGGCCCATACCAGCATTATATAAAAACATCAAAAAACAATATTACAGGAATTGAGTCAAGTCAGCATTTAATGCATTGTCATTATAGGTATTTACTTCAAACGTACCTACTCTACAACAGCACTAATTGAAGACCAAATATTGTCTATGAATTGCGTCTTACGCAGTGATCTGCAACCCCGTAAACAAATGATAGCGCTCCTGAGCAGCGCGAACCTTTTCTTAGTTTTCATATATTTTATTGTTTCTGCGTAGCTTTCATGCTTTTTTTCACTAAGTTTTTCAGCTATGCGCTACAATGTCCGAGGAGCTGCTGGTGCGGCACCACCATTACAGCCAAAAATGAGCGGGCAGAAGCTGCTCTGTTCGACTTGTAGAACTTTCTGTTGGTATTTTGAGTTTTTTAGTCATTCGTGGTATTTATGGGCGTCTTTCAGTAGTCTTCTTGAAGTTTTCGTTTCGCAAAAACTAAGGATTTTTAGGGTTTCAAAATTTTACATCTAAATATTTTGAGAACGCGTTTAAATTGTAATTTCAAACAATCGTTTTCGCACATTTTGTGCATCTTCAGGTTTTAAAAATTCTAAACTATCTGTACAAAATGATCAAAGATCATAAAAAGTGTCACACACATCATTACTACAAAGTTTTAAAAAATCAACCAATCAAAACTTTACAAATATCACTGAAATTATTTAACAACTATTATGTAACATTTTAAAACATTTTGTCACAAATTTCTGAGAGTTTTCTTCATTTTTATTTTCACATTTTCGTTTTGTGGCTAATTTTTATGCTAACATGTAAGTTGTTTCAAAATTTTGTTGTTTTAGCCAGAATTTTTCGATTCTGGAACTATAGCCTTAGTGTCAGCTCCCTACTTCTAAACTCGTCGCGCGTGTTAAATGCCGGTCTCTCTTTCCTAATGTGCAGCGCCTCTAATGTAAGTAACTTGATGCTGCTGGACGCCTGGTCGATTATTTTCCAATTAAACTCAGACTTACCACGCTCACTACCACACTGCCTTATATGCTGTCCAACTGGGGTATCCTCTTTTCGGTGTTCCTCAATCCTTGAGGTGAGATGTCGGACCATCTGGCCAACATAGATGGACTTGCACCCACAACATTCAAGTCTGTACACCACTTTTGATTTCAGTTCACTGGAAAAGGAGGATTTTAGAGCGGGCATACAAGTTTTCAATTTCCTCGTCGTGAATATTATCAGCGCATTGGTGTTATCGCGCACTTTTTTGCTAATATCTGACTGTGATTCCCCCTGTAGTGGACCATCAAGATGGGTGGTGAATCACTGCTATAATCACAGGGCTTCTTTTTCTCAGCCATGTTCTTTTTGCTTTTTCCCTCGCTGATGATCTTTTCAAGGGCATGGGATGCAACCCGCGACGACCAACTTTCCGGATATTGGTTATCCAACCACTGCTCATGGTTGATTTTCATGGCTTTATCATATTCTTCCCATGTTGACGTACTGCGGAAAACCCGGTGAACATTTCCTTCAATCTTACTTCTCTTGTACTGAAGGGGGGCGCAGCTTCTAAAATTGAGTATTGAACCTGTATCTGTTGGTTTTTGATACCACCCACAGTTAATTTTCCTGCTTTTGTCAATACTAATTTGTAAATCCAAAAATGCCAAAGTTCCGTTTGTGTTTGGTGTCTCTATTAAGAACTGTAAATTTGGATGTAGTAAGTTTGCAGCCCGTAGCACTTTTTCAGGATCACCCTTCACTGTTCTCACTATATCATCAACGTAACGGAGAAACAATTTAGATTGTTGCCCTGACTTATTTTTCTCCCTTATTGCGATGCATTTTCTGCAGTACCAGACGGTTTCACTTATATTTCGATACTCATCATCTGATATATCACCGCATTTTACGTGATACCAGTTCAAACAGCATTCACATTCTACACTTTTTGACCTGTACGTGACTTTCTTATTGCACTCGGGACATATTCCGTGAAGATCTTTCTCGGGCAAAAACATTTCGGGAATATCCCTTGATAGTGCAGTTTTGTACTGCTTCAGCCAAAGATTAGCTAAAATAACGGCAAGAGATGCCCCCGTTGCCAAACCATCTTTCTGAACGTACCATATTTCATTGCACTTGAAATGGACTTGACTAACTGCCATGTTCAACAGTCTCTTCATGGTTTTCCTAGCAATTGATGGTGGTTCATCTTGCTCATACAGTTTTCTCAGAGCTATGTCTATCGCTTCTTTTAGTGGAACATTTGTGTACAAACTCTTCACATCTAGAGATATCAAGTTTTCATTGGGCTCAAGATTGGTGCTCTCTAAGATTTCTCTCGCATCTAGTAAGTTGGTTTCGATGTTTGCGCCCTCAATTTTCTCGAAAAATTTAGCAAGAACCTTGTTCAAGTTATAATAAGAGCTACCAGGCAAGGAGAGGACCGGTCTTAATGGGGTATTCACTTTATGCACTTTCGCCAACCCATAAAGCCTGGCGGGCTGCCCCCCAGTAGACCTCATCCTTGTGTAGAGACTCTCATTTATTTCATCTTTTTTCCTCATAGCCAACAACTCCTTATTGAGATCTCTTTCTATCTTCAAAACAATCGCATCACTTGTTCCTTTACTTTTGCTGAATCGATTTGAATCTAATGTATCCGACAACTTGTTCTCGTAGGTGTCCTTTCTCATTACACAAAATACGGTACCGCAACTAAACCATTACTCTTCAGATGCTTTCGGGCCTTCTCAACGCCTTTGTCAGAGGCGCTTTCGGGCCTTCTCAACAGGCGCTGCACATTAGGAAAGAGAGACCGGCAATTAACACGCGCGACGAGTTTAGAAGTAGGGAGCTGACACTACGGCTATAGTTCCAGAATCAAAAAATTCTGGCTAAAACAACAAAATTTTGAAACAACTTACATGTTAGCATAAAAATTAGCCACAAAACGAAAATGTGAAAATAAAAATGAAGAAAACTCTTAGAAATTTGTGACAAAATGTTTTAAATTGTTACATAATAGTTGTTACATAATTTCAGTGATATTTGTAAAGTTTTGATTGGTTGAATTTTTAAAACTTTGAAGTAATGATGTGTGTGACACTTTTTATGATCTTTGATCATTTTGTACAGATAGTTTAGAATTTTTAAAACCTGAAGATGCACAAAATGTGCGAAAACGTTTGTTTGAATTTACAATTTTAACGCATTCTCAAAATAAGGATTTTTAATTACTATACATTAAATGGGTCCATTCACAACAAATGCACCAATATGGTTTCACTTTCTGAGATAAATTTGCTAGAAAAAATAGATCTGCAACTGCTGGAATATAAAAAGTTAGAATGATAAAACTAATTTAACTTTAAAAAAAGCAAAAAAAAATAGAGACTTTCGACCAAAATGGCGCGCCAAAATGCGTCGAATTTTATTATACCATCGGACTGGGAAGATTGACCGTTTTAGCGGATCAGCTGTACAAATTGGGCAATAAGGCAAAATAGGAATGATCAGTTTGGCGTGATAAATTTTAAAAATTCGTTCCAAAATAAAGACACGTCACGACTTTGAGACTTCGCCACAACTTAAAATATGAAAAAACAGAAGAACAAAATTCGTTGAAACAGACGAGAGGAACGAGAAATGGCAACGAACAAAGAAATTATAGTGGTTGACGTTAACGGAAGACCATTCCGAATTGTAATCATATTACTGTACAATCGTTACCGAAGATTTCCTGAGAAACAGGAAGGGTGTGGTGTGCCAGTCGGTCATATTTGAAAGTTTGACCTTGAGCAATGCGAACAACAAGATTTTGGGGTCGAATGGAATTTTTCAAAAATTCGAATTGGACATGTCATGCTCGAGTTTCTCGCGACAACTGAAAATACCAAAAAAATAAGATCAGAACGACCGAAAAATAATCGCGGGAAAGTGGTCAAATTTAGCAGCGGGAAATTGCTATTCGCAATTTCCGATATTTAATTTGAAGAGAGTAGAGCTGGCTTAATTGTGACAAGAGACAGAAAGTAATCGCGAGCTAAAGAACATCGATATTCAGTTGGACCAGAGTGAGCCTTCAGTGGAAAGGTAGACAATCGAAGTCTCCCAATGGTCCAGACCAAAAATCAATTCTCCAGCTAGAACTTGTTCGCTTAGAATTTATTGAATCAAACTTAATTCCCTATTTATTCTCAAGTTGTATATTAATTTAGTTACCTCAAATTCTCGAGTGTGCCGATGTGTGAGTACTCAATTTAGTTTTCCTGAGTGTGTTTTATGATTGTCATGTTGAGGTAAGGAGAGTTTTAGGTTGATCCATCTAAAATGGATCAAATTTCCACTGTCTAATGAAGAGTAACTGTGCGGACTGTTCCGACCCAGTTTTTAACGGCGTTCGCTTATTTTGGGTATTTTGAGACCTAAGTATGGGGATGTTCTTATTTTTCTAGAGTGGAGGTATTTTGGTAGTGGCCTTTAAGCTGTAACGGGTTTTTAGTCTCATGTCGCAAGTGAACCGAATTGGCTCCGACCGTTCGAGGTAGAAAATTACAAGAGATAGTGTCCCTGACTCTTGAGCTAATGGTTATAGGGCCTATTTTTCTTCGACCTCATATGTGACTGAAGTTGGCGACTGTTACATGGGACGAACGACTTCACCAGCCTTCCGGAAGAACGACAAGACTGTTCTTCGTCCGGATTCCAGAATCAGGAAGGGTCTCGGAAAGAGGACTGTAACTCTTTAATTTAACAATTTTGAGCTTCCGGTTATGTCCTGAAATGAATTAAAAACATCTAAATTCATTTTCAGATACTGAAAAGCTAGGAGTTGAGGGAAAGGGTTGATCCAACTCTGATAGGATTGATGATTTTTATCTACTGAACAAAAACAATAGTAATATGATGAATAAGTAGTAGCTCTGTTTTTAGGAGTGACCTCGTGGTCTGGGGATACTGAGACCCAGCCATGAGCTCACTACTTTTGCATGTAGCTAAGTTAATATGAGGGTTCTGGACGATAGCCCGAAACAGTAACGAGTTTGTCGACCCGATGTTCAAAGGACCACACAAAGAAGTGGCTTTGCAGAGACGGTTAAAAGCATGTAGAGCTGTGTTCAGACGCTAGCCAGTCGTTTTACAACCTAGCTTATTTTCCGTCGATATGTACATCCGGATGTTACAAAAATAAGGGCACTTTTGAATGCAAAAGCTAATTATTCATACAAAAAGTATGACTCGAGGTAATCTAAAAATTAAATTTGCATGCCAAGATTTTTCAAAATTGAGGTTGCTTTTTTCATTTATTTCTTTTTAATCTAAACGCTTTAATTTTCTCATAAGGCTAAAACACCGCACAAACGTTAGCTCGTTCAGCAATATATAGAGCCGATGATGTGCAAAAGCCGATACCCAGTGCACTTCGTGGATCAAGCCTTCTCAGTACCGAAAAGTCTAAGATTACAAAGAATTTCGGAAAAATCTTACGAGTTGCTATGTAAGATGTTCGCAGCAGTTCCGGGAAGAACCAAAGTTGAGTTAGAGCCGATACTGGGCAAGAGATTCATGGTATATGCTAGTGGGAATTTTAGCGATTTCGAAAGTCAGAAACAGAGAGGATCAACAGCGACAGATTACAATGCAGTAGATGAAAACGACGAAATCCACCGAGTGATAATGGAAGTGGAACTACTGCTGGAAGCGTCGGGAAAGCGTAATTGGAGGAGCATCATGTTGAATTTCCATGCCATTGCTCACTACAAACATGGTGGTATCCCGGGCGCAGTAATCTGGTGTTGATCTGGGACTCTGGAGAGCTGCTCTCCATGGGTTTACCAGATTCATCACAGCCCATAAAGATAGTGATTGTTGGAGTTATGACGGCAAGTCGATAGCTGGAAGTGTAATGTCTACAAAATTTAGATCTTTTCGAGACAATGTGCAAAATCTTGAGCACTCCGATGGAAGTGAAGAAGATATAGACCAGAAGACGACTGATTCCGTGGTTTAGAGCCAACATGACTGCATGGTTGTACGAGTATGCCAAGAAGCATATGTCTAAGCATAGCAGAGTGTACAGTGCGTATCAGCTGGACATTGGAGCAGGAGCTTTCAAGCGAGCTTCTGTAACTCATCGGAATGCAGTGACCACCGCAGTGAAAAAGAGTTCCAGAGCAAGTGAGTGTGACGGGAGAGAAAGAGAAGAATTGTTGAAGGAATACCTGGAGAGAAACGTGACGTTGTGCCTCCACAATAGCTTCTGCAGAAATAGGGAAATTAACGTAGATCCTCTACCTTGATGTAAACAAAGGGTAGAAGAGCAGAGGTGTTGGAGGACTGCTTCCAATAGCGTCAGAATCGCCACCGACGTGTTGCAAGACACTGAAATTGAAAGTGCAGAGTCAGTGTCGCAGGAGGAGGAGATGGAGCAATGACAATGAGCTGGAAAACAAGATGCAAAAAGTTGGAAGATTCGAAAAATTTAGAAGTTTTAGAACCTCTAAGCGACGAAAAACCAGAAGAACTGAGCAAAGAAGTGAACGAAGAAGTAACAAAGGAGAAGATGTTAAAACTCAGAATTTTTTTGTGTGAGAAAAACTCAACTGAGAAACTAGCCATTAAGCTTGCAATTGAAACTGAATGAAAGAAAACTTTTAGTTGGTTTTTGAAGTTAAGAATGTGTTGCATTTATAAGCTTGCATTGTATTTTTAGCTAGTAGCTTTAGCGACACATACTATTTGTTTAGAGAGGCTTGAGTGAAGAGTATAAAATTTTTTCTAGCCTGCATGATTGTTTTTAATCAACTAAGATGACTGATCATTTTGTGGTGATATGAAGGGCTTGGGTAATCTCTTGCAGAAGGAGATTATTTCTTTGTTCCTTCTAATCGCTAAATTGCTTATTTTTAATACTCAGAACCAATCACCACTAAATTTTCGAAGGGAAGAAGCATAGTAGGATAATTTGTTGGTTGGCAGGAGCGCTCTGCATCCCAACACCTTTTAAACCTAGGAGAAGAAGTCTTAAATCGAGACATTGGCATCAAAAGTCAAAAAAGACGTTTTTATCTTAAGTCATATCTTCAAAAAGGCAGATTAGTCAAAGAATTTGGAAGGCTATAACAGTGTAGTATGATGCCATTTGTATTCTGCAGTGAGTCGATGTGATGTAGATAAAAATGATCTCAAGGGTTTTGTAAAATCTGTTTGATGGCACTGTACCATTTTGATGATAACTACGAGACTCAATGAGGACCTTGAACGGCCTGTCCGGAGAGTATGTGACATTCGATCAGAACGGCGCCAAAATGCGTCAAACTGGCAAGATTGACCGTTTTAGTGGATCAGCTGTACTAATTGGACAATTCGGCGAATTAGGAATGGTCAGTGTGGCCTGACGTAATAAAATTTAAAACTTCGTTCCAAAATAAAAACACGTCACGACTTTGAAGTTTCGCTACAGCTTAAAATCAGAAAAAAAACAGAAGAGCAAAATTCGTTGAAACAGTCAAGACGAACGAGAAATAGCAACGAACAAAGAAATAGTAGTGGTTGAAGTTAACGGAAGATCATTCCAAATTGTAACGAAATTACTGTAAAATCGTTACCGAAGATTTCCCGAGAAACAGGAAGGGTTTTGGGACGACTTCACCATCCTTCCGGAAGGACGTCAAGGTTGTTCTTGGTCCGGACTCCAGAATCCGGAAGGGTCTCGGGAAGAGGAGTTTAACTCTTTAATTTAACAATTTTTAGCTTGTGGTTATGTCCTGAATTGGAATAATAACATCTAAATTTGTTTTCAGATACTGAGAAGCTAGGAATTGAGGGAAAGAGTTGATCCAACTCCAATGTGAATGATGATTTTTATCTACTGAACAAAAACAATAGTAGTATTATAAATAAAGAGTAGCCCCGTTTTTAGGAGTGACCTCGTGGTCTGGGGATACTGAGACCCAGCCATGAACTCACTACTTTTGCATCTAACTAAGTTAATCTGAGGGCTCTGGCCGATAGCCCAGAACAGTAACGATTTTGTCGAGCCGATGTTCAAAGGACCACACAAAGAACTGGCTTTGGCAGAGACGGTTAAAAGCATGTAGAGCTGTGTTTAGACGCTAGCCAGTCGTTTCACAACCTAGCTTTTTTTCTGTCGACATCTTCTTCTGGAGGTTACAAAAATTAGGGCACTTTTGAATGTAAAAGCTATTTATTCATACAAAAAGTATGACTCAAGGTAGTCTAAAAATCAAAATTGCATGCCAAGATTTTTCAAATTGAGGTTGCCCTTTTCATTTAATTCTGCTTAATCTAAACACTTTTATGTTATCAGAAGGCTAAACACCGCACAACCGTTAGCTCGTACAGCAATATATAGAGCCAGTAGCCGTTCGAACACAAATATGGCGAAGTTGTGTCAAAGGAAATTTTGACGATAAGGGTACGCTTGTTAGAAGGCCCGGGACGGTATTTTACAGACAAGCTGGTCAAGCTGCGATACTCCCCCTTTACGCAAACACGCAAACCAGGTTGTAAGCGCTTTCATCTTTTTTTCTGTTATTTGTTTTTTCAATCCTTTTTTCTTTTCTTTACAATCCAATTTTCAAGCTATTTTGTCTCTTGCTCGCATTTTTTGTACCCTGTTCAGTGAACGTCCAGTCCAAAGTGCCTACCCAAGTGGAGCAGAAAACTTGTAAGAGTCACATCAAGGACCAAGAACTGCAGCTGATCGTACAGAGGTGCAAAAGCTCATCAAGACATCCAAAATAGAAGAAGTAAGAAGTAAGCAAGGAATTAAACAATTCGAAATATTTAAGAGTATAGGCAAAATATCTGCCACCATTAGCTGCTTTTCAGACAAGAAAACAAGAAGAGTACTTACTCCTGTTGTTGTCTTGGAGCTAACAATAATCATTTAACCGAAATAAGTGAAAGACAAAAAACCATACCACCGCTCTATTATCGAACAAAAGAAAATCCGAAAATCAACACTGAAAACGCACGGAAGCCACGGTACCTCAGGTCTAGATGCGTGCGAATGAAGAAGGATGGTAACTCACATCAACCAGACATCGATTGAGCTTTGCAAAACAATTGCAATTCTACCCTTCACAATTGCTAGTAAAGCTCTCCCCCATGAAAACCTAGCGTCATCTAGCTAGTGTCGTCTGATAACTCTTGACATAAATCCAGGGGTAAGGCCTTTAGGTATAAGCGAGGTTATGAGACAAATAATTGGCAATATAATCACCCATTGTATAAAATTATATCCTATAGTACTGGGCGAAAACCCTCCAATTCTTCTTAGGCCAGAAGTGCGGAATCGAGTATGCTATTCACAGCTTGAGAAACGAGTTTGGGAAACCGGAAAAGGACGCCATACAACTCATTGATGCAAAAAAAGCCTTCAACTTGCTCAATGGAGAATTTGCTCTAAAAATGTCGAAGTCCTTTGCCGGGCACTAAAATATGCGCTGGTCAGTTCATTTGAACATCCCTCAAAACTATATGTCAACAGCGTGGTTCTGAAACCTATCGGAGGCACCACGCAAGGCGATCCCCTCGCAGTGGCTGTGTACGGAATGGGTATAATCCCACTGATCGAGCTCCTGCAAACACCAAATGTCATATAAAATTGGAACGAAGATGACGGAAGCGCTGCTGGTGATCTTATGATTCTCCGTGTGGCAATAATCGACAACCTGGATGTGAACGCAGAGGCTTTCGGCTGCAATGTGAATCCTTCCAAGTGTCAACTCATAAAAAGAAAAACTGTCGTGAATCTGCCAAATAGGTAATTGAAGGCTTTGAAACTTTTATGGTAGATGGTTTTAGAGTCCTTGAATTGTTTAAAAGAACACCAAAAGCATGCGATAAAAACATGGCAAATGGAATGGAAAAGACAACTACCCTGACAAAAGCGTTCTAAAATAGCTAAAACATCGCCACACAATGTATATTCCTGCTACATAAATGATATTCAAAATAAATTAAACTTCCTAACCAGAACAACTCCGGAAGCATTTTGGAACCTGGAAAAAAATGAGAAAAATGTAAAATGCTACTACTTTTTAGTATTTTTGGTAAAATCCATTTAACCGATCAAAATTGCAGCTTTTTTGTACTAGCAATGCAAATGGGAGGATAAGACCTCTGCAGTAACACGGATTTTCCATCATTTATGAGTCGTCACGAACCATTTGTAATCCATTGGAAAATGATGACCTGGGAAGAGTTGAAACGGAAGAAAGTCAGATAAATAGAAACGTCAAAACTGGGAGACAGAACATCACACTCTCAAAAAAGGCTAAAAATATGGAAAATTACTAATTAGAAAAAACTAACAGACAATCTAGCATCACAGAAAATAGCATCGAACTGGCTAAGCTTCCTACCCTTAAAAAGTACAATTTTTCCTCAATAAATCAGAGTTTTAAGATGGCTTACATCTGAGATATGGATGGGAACCACCAAACACTCCACATACATGTCCATGTGGACAACCGTTTACACTGACCCACTCTCTACACTACCCCAAAGGTGAATACAATCACCCAAGACATAATGAAGTTCTTGATACCTTTGCCGCACTACTGGACGAAGTATGCATGATGTTGAGACAGAGCCGAAACTTCAATGGGTGGAAGGAAAATCTCTCACAACAAAACAAACACTACTGAAGATGACGCTCGACTGAAAAACAAGGCGAATGGACACTGGGGAGGCCTACTCAGCCGAATTTTTTCGAGGTAGGACTTTTCAACCCCCGTGCTAAATCCTGCCCTAAGAAAATAACTGACGCCCACAAATATTACGAGAGTGTGAAAACCTTAAAATAACAACAAAGAATCCTGGATGTGGAACAAAGCAGCTTTGCTCCACTAAATTTTGGGTGAACTGGAGGAGCACTATCAGGCTCTACAAAAACCGTTCAAAAACTAGCAGACAAAATTTGGAAGATACGGAACGAATCATTTTCCGACACAATAAACTTTGCAAGAACCCATATAAATTTTGCACTACCGAAGAATGCATTCCATCGCCTCAGAGGGCGCAGCAAATTTGAATTTCATACACGTAGAAACGTCTATCAGTGCTATAATTGATGAGAGTAGATTTTAATCGACAATTCTTTGGATTCTACAAAATCGACTTTATTTATAAAACTTTGCCTATGTGCT